CTCAAAACGACCGGTCAAGTCGTTACAGCATGTATTCACATGTATTCGCGCCATGTATTCATTAATACAACAGCAAAAAGCGCCTAAAATCAGGGCAGTCCAGATGTACGCACATGTATTCACATATATTCGTGCCGCTGTATTCCTGAATACATCTATAAAAAGCGCCTAAAATTAGGGCAGTTCAGCTGTACACGCATGTATTCATAATGTATTCGCGCCATGTATTCATGAATACAGTAACGTCAATCACCTTAAAAATAGTTATATCCAATTGTCTAAGAGAAGGGGAAAACATAAATAGCGTATTTCATGCCTCAATGGTAGTATATACCATAAGTACTTATTTTGCTATAAAATATAAGAGGTAGCTATAGAAAATAATATTTTAAAATAATTTTGATTTCTAATAAATAGGGTGTATACCTTTGCTATAGGAGGTAAACTTTTCTTTATTTATTGCATGCTGGTCGGGGACTATCATCTCAACATGTTTTGTGAATTGGAGAGTTGCTGCAAATGGGCCTGAAGACATTATCCAACAGCCTTACCCATGGCAAATCTAAGGTATAAGCAGTCCTACAGGAAATTACATTCAATGATTTTGAAATTGGATTCTTGATTTTTTTTATCCATGCTTGCCCCATGGGCAACATTTAAGATCAAAAGTCAAAAGTGTTCCCCATAGGACAAGCGAGGGGCAACACTTGTTAAGCTTGAAGCTTTGTTCACGGGACAAGCGAGGGGCAACACTTACTTCTTCAGCTATATGTTGTGGCACATTCCATTTGCTTTCATCAGGCAGCAGGTCTACTGGTATTTCATACGTATGCAAGAGGTTCTCCCTAGTGTAATAAGGAGAACAATAGTTTTCATAAGACTCACTCTTGTGCCTTAAAGCAGCCAAATCATGTGCACAAGGAAGTTCATCAAGCTGGAATTGTCCACAACTACATCTCTTGTTTTCAAGACAAACAATATAGCGCTTCACACCATCTATCACTGTATGAATGTGATCTGTTGAAACCCTCACCTACAATTACATTACAAACACACAACAAATTATCAGCAACATATACGAAATAACTATAATTATTCAACAATTCATCTACAATGTCTGTTAATATTTTAGTTTGATGCAATAATTGATCAGATGTTATTGGATATAGCTTACTCTGAGCTTCTGCGATAATGTTCTGCTGTCCTCCAACTCTTTGTTGTATTTTTTCCCAAGGTATGTGAATGTACCTTTTGCTTTCAATAACTTTTCATTAGTCCAACGTTCAAGAAGAGTCCTCTTGTACTCTAATAGTTCTACTATCGGCAGCTCTCTTGCATCTCTTGTTATCGCATTCAATGACTCTGCAATGTTTGATGTCATAGTCCAAGTTCTGTTCACCGTAGCATGTACTCGAGACCATCTGTGATAGCCAATATCGTATAACTATGCTTTAACACGCGTGTTGATCTCTTCAATCTTTGACATTCTTTCATTAAATTCATCAAGCGTGTATGATCGTGTCGTGGCAAAGTACAATTCGCTTAACTTTAGATGACCTTTCTTGAACTTTGACCTTATATTTGTCCAAATATGCCACATGCAAGAATAATGTGGCATGCCGGTATAAACAATAGATGTTGCCTTCAAGATACTCTCATTCCGATCCGAAACAATACACATATTTGGTTTTTCACCATATGCATGTTTGAATTGCTCAAAAAAACACTTCCATTATGCGTCATTTTCTGAATCAACAATAGCATATGCCAGTGGTAATATGCTACCTATCATATGTGGCAAAAAGGAATTCAATTTCCATCATAAAACTGTAGATAAAGAAAAATACATACAAACAACAAATCTTCAACAATATATCTACAATAAATCTACAATACCTGCTGCATCCATTGTGCTAGCTGTTAGCATTATTCCCCTGTATGCTGACTTCAAGAAGGTCCCATCAACTACTACAACTGGCCTACAATAATTCCAGCCATTGATTGACGTACTAATCGCAACAAATGCATACAAGAAACAGCCATCGTCGGTCTTCTTCAATTTAACTACCGACCCCGGATAAGTCTTCTCCAGAATATACGAATAACTAGGCAATCGACTGTAGGAGTCAGCAGGATAACCTCTCAAAAATTCCAAAGCCATTTCCTTTGCTCTCCAAGCTTGCATGTATGTTAAGCTCACCCCGTATTCAGACAACATATAAGTTTGTATGTCTTTTGGTGTGTAAATTGTCTTAGGATCGGCATATTTTGGTATAACCATGCTACCCACTACCATGGCAGTAGGTTTGCATTGTATGTATGTATTGTCCATCAAAGAGCATGTGTGCAAGCTATTGAATTTTCGAACCTTGAACATTGCTGAATCATTTATGCTGGTGGACTTGAAGTTCCATGTACAATCTTCCCTAACACATACCAGGCAGTAGCTACAGAATAAAAACAATTTAAACAATGGTATGAAAAATGTAGATACACAAAAAATAGGCTGTTTAATCATGAAAATCTTATATTTAATAATTTGTATACAAAAAAACTACAAATTATCTACAATTTGTATACAAAGATATTACAAACACTGAAGAACAAAAAAAATACAAATAAACTACAAATTAAACAAAGACATGATTTTTGACCATTGAACTGTTTGTACCTTCTAGCACTAGACATTTTCACCCTAAATTGGAACTTGTACGTGACAGAATAGTGCTTCATTGCACTAGCAATTGTTTGCTTGTCTTTGTATACTTGGCCTACTTCAATAACAGTTGGTGTATTTTCTGTTATGATTATACTTTCATATTTCACTATCGCCGGAGATGTTGGCATATTAATCAACTTCAGTGTTCCAGATGAACCTGCAATCAATTAAAGCTAAGTACAGTTATGATATATATTGTAGATATTTTATAGTAAAACTGTAGAACAATGAAATTCAAGACTTACATATTCATAAATATTGATATACACATGTTATGTAGTTTTTATTTAGAAATATTGTAGATAAATTATAGAACAAATGAAATTCAATACTTATTTTAATCAACACATGTTATGTAGTTTTTTTGTGGAAATATTGTAGAAAAATTGTAGAACGCATGAGATATAAACAAATTTCACCACTGGTATAACAGATCAAACCTGCAATTGCGTTCGAATTAGAGATACTGCATTCCAAATCGAAATCCTGCACTGTTATGTATAGCGGATACATTCCTAAGCTTTTGTTTTCCTTTTTCGTCTCCATGTATACTCGAACTCCCATATCGTTCCTAATTTTCATTGGCCGACAATGTTCGTTGATAATGTATTTGATTTCGATTATTTTTTCTGATGTATCGATCATTAGATGCTCTGCGATTGTAGAAATCAATTGGCTATAACTTGCATCTTCACTGACTACAATTCCGTCGATATGAAAATCTCTGTATCTCCAAAGCTATCCCAATTACCATTTAGCTAAACCATAATAGCTATTTTTGATATTATTGCGCGTGATTCAGTACAATTTTAGATAATTGATTCGATTTTGCTTGTGAAACCAGAATATACAGTGAAAAACAGAGTATACGAAAAATAGAGTATCGAAATTGTGGGAGAAACGGAATAATTTCAGGCTTAATCAATGGCGACTAATGTGCCGCAAAAAAATCTCGGTAGAATCCTTTACTATCCCAAATTCTCGCTCCTAAAAAAGGAATGTTACAGTAGAAAGGATTCCTTTTTAAATTGTTTGTATAGATTTTGTAGGAAAAATGTATCCAGGGAGGATAATATTGTAAACAAGGATATTTTTTGTAATAAAGTTTCATATAGTATATAGGAATAAAATTTTCTCTTTGTGAATTGGAGCTTGCTGCAAATGGGCCTGAAGACATTATCCAACAGTCTTACCCATGGCAAATCTAAGGTATAAGGAGTCCTACAGGAAATTACATTCAATGATTTTATTCAATGATTTTGAAATTGGATGTTCTTGATTTTTTTATCCATGCTTGCCCCATGGGCAACCTTTAAGATCAAAAGTCAAAAGTGTTCCCCATGGAACAAGCGAAGGGCAACACTTGTTAAGCTTGAAGCTCTGCTCACGGGACAAGCGAGGGGCAACACTTATTAAACTTCAAGTTCTGCCAATAAGACAAGCAGTAAGGGCATATATAGCCCTTTAGATGCCTATGGGTTCATCTGACTCATAACTTTCAACACGGAGTATAGATATATGTGTAAAAGCCTACTAAAATCTTAACAAATATTGGAGTTGAACCCATAATTTTACTAGTATAATGAGTTCAATGCTGAGAAGCTTAAAAGTTTAACTTATTAAATTTAACTTCTTGATCCGCGTCGAGGTCAAAAAATCAAGAGTAACACTGAAATGTCTTATTTGTGCAAATCACTCACAGTGAAATTATAACAAAACCTTACAGTTCCTTTAATGGGCTTTACAAATATTTCAGTCATCAACCATAGGTTGTGTCGTTAGGTACTTCCAATTCTCTTTAAACTTAAGCTGAATAATTACATGTATAATGTATTTGAGTTCCAATAAGAGCCCGTTTGGATTAGCTGATTGTAAATAGCTAATAAGCTTGAAGTGCTGAAAAACTTTTTTAAGTGCTGAAATTGATTTTTAAAATAAATATTTACGTGTTTGGATAGAAGTGCTGAAACTGATAATAAGCAGTGTTTGATTAAAAAGTACTGATAAGCTATTTTTTTTGTTAAAATGACTAAAATACCCTAGTATTTTTTTCAAAATATTATAAATTAAAAATTTCTTTGTAAAGAAAAGAATTAACAACGAATATGGAATGAAAAGAAAGTTAAAAAATTTATTTTGGGAAAAGTATTTTGTGAATTAGAAAATATTATTAAAGATAAACTAGTAAAAGTGTTGGTCAAACCAAAAGTGCTTATAAATTAGAAAGTCATAAGTGGGAGGTGATGGCGCTTTGCCTGTTTTACCAAATGCCTATATAAAGCCAAAAGCTAGTTATAATCCAGTTTGACCCAAATTCCACCCAATGGCGATGGCGGGGACACTCCAAATCCTACTCCTCAACCCTCAAAATGGGCGGCGTCCTCATCTTCCGACGACCCAAACCCACTTTCCATTTTCCAAAATTAGCAGAAACAGCAACATCAGCAGGTCACAGCTTCTCATTAGAGCCACTTTACAACACTCAAATCAGGTGAACTTTCCTCCTTTCCTTTCCTTTATTATTATGTTCTTAGGTGCTACGGTGTTAAAATCGATTTGATGTTAAAAACTGTACAAATCAACTGTTAGAACAGTTTATTAACTTTTCAGCTGATAGATTTAATGGTATTTTCCAGGGAAGTGGTAGTGGAGACCAGCTTCCACGGGCTACTGCAAAATTAAACTGGGTAAAACCAATTTGGGGATTTGTATCAAACAATTTCTTGCCTTTAGCTTTAATTGGTGGAGTAGCATTAGGGCTTGTTAATCCTACACTTGGTTGTCTTGCTGATAGATATTATCTGTCCAAATTTAGCACTTTTGGGATATTTATAATCTCGGGGCTCACATTGCGTAGTGATGAAGTAGGTGCTGCTGTTGAAGCTTGGCCTGTTGGTATTTTTGGTCTCGTTTCCATTTTGTTCTTCACTCCTTTATTTTCCAAGATTATTATGCTTCTAAAGCTTCAACCTCAAGAATTCGTCACAGGGTTGGCAATATTTAGCTGTATGCCCACGACATTATCTAGTGGAGTGGCACTAACTCGATTAGCAGGAGGAAACTCTGCTCTTGCTCTTGCGATGACCTTAATATCAAACCTTTTAGGAATTCTGATTGTACCTTTTTCGATCTCCAAGCTCATAGCGGCTGGTGTTGGTGTGTCTGTCCCGGCTGAGCAGTTGTTTAGAAGCCTTGTTTTCACTCTTTTAGTTCCTCTTATCATAGGGAAGGCATTACGAGAATGTTTCAAAGGCGTGGCTGAGTTTTCTGATCGAAATCGTAAGCTTTTAGCAATGATGAGTTCTCTCCTCTTAAGTTTAGCGCCATTTATACAAGTGAGCAGATCGAGGTCACTGCTTCTATTGGTTAAGCCAGAAGTTTTTCTTCTGGCTGTTGTGTTAGGAGTGCTTCTGCATCTCATCCTTTTTGCTTTTAATGCTCTGGCAATAACATTACTTTCCACTACTTCAACATCATTTTCAAAGAAGGAAAATATTAGTGCTCTCTTAATTGTTGCAAGCCAGAAAACTTTGCCTGTAATGGTAGCAGTAGTGGAACAGCTCGGAAATGCTCTTGGTGAATCTGGTTTGCTGGTTCTTCCATGCATAGCAGCACATTTGAACCAGATCATTTTGGACTCTTTGTTGGTCAACTTTTGGCTTCAAAAAGGGCATGCTTCAGACAATTTGAAGACTGCTTGAAATAATCTCAAGTCCCCTGCCGATGGTGGGTGCTGCACACAAGAAGGAATAATTCACATGTAAGTCATTGAAGTCTAGAAGTTCTAATAGTGATACTTATTTTTCTGATAAAGTTCTGATGGTACTAGCCCCGTTAACCTGGAAAAATCATCCGTATAATCTCTCTTTGTGATAGTGAAGCTGATGTAAAATAACCATCTTATTGAATTTAACAATACTTATGTTTCACACAAAAAGAATAAAAACACGGCCCTCAAACTTGCCCCTTCTTTTCATTTAGATATACTAATTAAGGGTTATTCCTATTGAACACCTGAACTCAAGCAAAATTGTGTCTATTAGACACGTCTTGCACAGTTTTTGGCACAGCCTTAAGAGTGTGTTGCCCAACGCCTCGTATGTGGAAAAGTTAACCGATAAAACCATTCCACCTTTTCTAACTTAACTCATCAGATATATCTGTAGAAAAATGTCAACCTGCACGTTTTCTGGGGGGAAAAGTTCTGGTCCAGCAAAATCTTGGAGAGATAAACTCCCAAATTCCATCCTTTCCTACTTCAATTCATCCAATCAAACTCAAGACCATTTTAGGCTCCAACAATCACCACCTCCCTCGCTGTTGCAAAACTCAATCTTAAGTCCCGTCCCACCTGTTCCTCATCTATTAACCCCACAATCAACACTGCTCCATCTCTGTCAGTCATCAACAACTACAACAAATCCAGTGTAATCCCACGAGTGGGGTGTGGGGAGGGTAGGGTAGTGTGTACGCAGACCTTACCCTTACCTTGTGTAGGTAGAGAGGTTGTTTCCGATAGACTCTCGGGATCAGGAAAAGCATATTTCCATCTCCGTCGGTCGTGGTCATTAAAACTCCTCAGATGCAAAACCCTTTAACACTCCATAAAAAATTCTCTAACAAGACCACCCTATATCGGCCATGAAATATTTATTTGGGGTTTGGGTTTCTGATGGTTTATTGTTGGGAGAAAAGTAAAAAGAAAAATAAAGAAACAGCCAAGAAGAGGAAAGAAGTGGGTGGAAATACAAGTGAAAAACATAGTCTTGTAATTGTTGTTTTCATCTTAATTAGTTTAGAAATCTTGTTTCCATGTAAATGTTTCAGGACCTTCTTATGAATCTGTTGTTATTTTCTTCGAAAAAATGTGTTTGTTTACTTTGTTTATCGATCTTGCTTGTATGTGATCACTCTCGTTTTCTTCTTACACTTTTCCGTTTGAGATCTTTGAAAAAAAAACATTTAAAAGAATAGGTAAGGAGATTGCAGTGTTAATGGGAGTGTTATGAGGAGAGAAGAAGCAAACGAACGAAAAAAGAAAATAAATTAATCTCATGCTTTCAAAGGAAGTCTAAACACGAAATTAATCGCACTCAAGCATAATTGGAAGCAATCTCATGCTTTCAAAGGAAGTTTAAGAGCCTATTTGGCCATGAATTTTTTTTTTATTTTTTTCGAAAAAAATCCACTTTTTGCGAAATCGGTTTTTGGCCATAACATTTTCGATTTTCGCCTGAAGATGAATTTTGGAATTTTTCAAAATTTTGAAAAACTCCAAAAAGTTATTTTTCAAAATTTTCACTTAGATCACTTACGAAAATTCAAAAATAACCCAAAATTATATTCATGTTCAAATACAATCCTAATTTTCAACTACCATTTTCACTTGAATTTTTTATATACTTTTTCGGAATTTTACAATTCTTGTGTCCGAACGCCCACTAAGACACTCACTTTGTCATGTCCGTATTTCGTGTTTAATAGAATTATTTTGTTTAAGTTCTAAAAGCTTTTAATAGATACAACCCTTAGTTTAGGCGTTTAAATAAAAACTTAAGCAAGTTTGCAGGGCCACATATGTAGTACGTAAGACTTAAACAACTTGCTTGGATATTTAGTATGAAGTGTCTTTAGCTGTCTTTAAGGTCCGAAAAAGTCAAGCGTATATTAAAAGAGAATTTATATTGTTAAGCAAAAACTAAATTTAGCAGGTAGATTCATAATAATTTTGGTTGTGGTAGTATGTTGCATGAATCCTTCATTTGTCCCGATGTATTCGTGTCGAATGGAGGATTTGGGTGCTTCGTGTAAATATTCATTGAATTTATTGTGAAAAGCTAGTCTTTCTGCATGCGAACCGGAAAAGATCTAAAATTAGCCCCAAATGCAGGAGAGTTATTGGACCTATCTACTTACAAGGCGACTTGGTACGCTTTTTTACTTGACTAATTATTGTCCATATATTGCTTACACTTACATATCCTTTAAAATACACTAAAGTAAGCAAGAAATTTGACGTACCTGTCCCATTTTAGACCTAACGGTAATACGATTTTGAGAAGAAACATTAAGTTAAAAAATAAATGAAGTACGCATTATCATAGACACTTCAAAAATTGATTCTTATCTTACATGGCTGAATACAATGAAAATGAAAAGAAAAAAAAATAGAGGAAAAGAAAAAGAATGCATGGTAGGAAAGGAAGGGTAATTATTCAAAGCAATCACTTGACGTATCACAACCGTTGAAACTTCATCATCTCTTCAAAATAATACGATCACGAGCAATCTTCACCGTCCAATATCTAAAGTTATAACCAAAATACGAACAAGGAAACTCCAATAACCAACACTGCCATGGCATGCATGGCAATGCTCTCAGCACCGGAATCATCCGCCGGCGAGTCATCATTGCCGGAGCTAGGGCTCAAGGCTGCCGGAGACTTTCTCTTTGACTTCAGCGTAGCCGGAGCCGGTGCCATCGCCGGAGCAGAAGCAGCAAATATACTCATAGGTTGAAGCACTTTATCAACCTGACAAGCAGATAATTAGAAGATATGAGAATTGTAATAGTTATTCTTGAAAATGTGATGCAAACATTGAAATCTACAAAAATTGATTTTAAGAAATGCGAGGAATTTGGATATATGCAGCTTAATAAGTTTTTTGAAATTTCAATGTGAACTTTACATTCTACAATCAAATTTTTGTACATTCAATGGTGAAGAGTTAATTTACTTCTCAAAATGTATCAAAGTCAGCTAACATTTTCGAGTTATTTTCGTCTATCAATATTTTACTCTTGGCTGTGTTTGATATGACAAAAATTATTTTTTCAGAAAATATTCTTGGAAAAATGACAGTGCCTAAAAAATATTTTCATGGAAAATGTTTTCCGATATTTGATTGGAGAGTGAAAAATATATTTTTAACAATATTAGCAAAGGAATAGTGTTTTAATTATATTTTTCTAATAGCAAAGATTGATAACGTCTAAGTGCTGGTTAAATTAGTGATTTGAAATTAAAACTTGAGATACTTGTAAAAGAAAATAACCTCCGCCCAAAAGTGAGAAAAGTCATTTTTTTCCGTTGAAAATATTTTCTTCATACCAAACACACCCTTAGTCTTCGTGCTTCTATAATAATAACAATTCTAACCTGATAAACTGCAAGCTGACCATCAGTGTAAATTGTGTTAGACACAGTAGCATCATCAACACCAGTGGATACATTCACTTGGTTGCCGGAAGTCGTCACATTTAACGGAAAATCTCCCGGACTAGCATCACCGGCTTGTGTCCTTAACGGATTACTAACAGTTTGAAACTGAGCCATAGAAATAAAATTAGGAAGAACATGAAATTGTACCAACTGAACTTGCTGTTGAGCACTTAAAGAATTTATAGTGCCAGATTTAAGGTTAGAAAATGCATTATCAGTAGGTGCAAAAACAGTCATTCCTTGATTAGAATTGTTAAGTTGTGTATTGATTTGATCACCAACTTGTGTGACTTTCATTAATCTTATTAAAGTGGTGAATTGGCCAGCTTTTTCTAGTATTTTTGTTATATTGGTTGGTCCAGAGGGAGCTGGAGCTGTGGCAGTTTGAGCTTGGGCTAAGGTAGATAATTGGAGGATAAGTAAAAGGAGTGAAAGAGATGAAAAAATATGGTGTTTCATATTTTCAAGAATGGAATGGTTGTAATATGGAATAGGGAAGTTTGAACTTTGAAAGGAGAATGATGTGGTTTGCTAATAGAAGAGAAGACTAGGGCTTTTATGGATAGGAAAGAATGTGTTAGGTGAGGGGGAGAAGATATTATAGTTTTAATACAAATTACTACTTGATCTAGTTTAACTTCTATACATTAATATTGTTAAATAATTATTAAGTTACATAAAAGATTATTATACATAATCGTCTAAAATAAATTGATCCATGACAAGGAAAATATACGTAATCGGTTCTAGAATTAAATTTAATAGCTTCGTCCTTTAAGGTTTCAGCATCAAACGTATTTTACTTTTAAAATTATTTGTTCAATTTTAATATTTACTAAAATTTTAGTTATGTATATGAATTTTTTTTATGCCGGCGGTGCATACAAGTTAACTCCTACTCCCTTCATTTTAATTCGTTTGGCATAGTATGACTCAGCAAGCAATTTAAGAAAAAAGAGAAAAAAATTTAAATTTGTTGTCTTACTAGACCATAACATTTGTATGGTTACTATAAGACTTAGAAATTTGTGGTTTTAAACCTATCATAATATTTAAGTGGCTATAAAAGCTTTTAGTAAAGAAAATAAAAATGACCATTCATTTTAGAACATATTAACAAAGAAATAGTGTCATATAAAGTGAAACGGAAAAAGTAATAAAATAGCATCCCTTTACATAAGTTTGGTGGGAAGTTACAATTGCAGTGGTTACAAAAAGGAAAAAATCTCCACATTCTTTCCAAGACTGACCATTAAATCTTGAAAGGGAGAGTTGGAATTGGTTTTTTTTTTTTTAGTGGGGGGGTGGGGGTGGGGGTGGGGGGGGTTGGAGTGTTGCTGAGGTGGAGGTTAAGCAACTATTACAGCTGATAGTTTGCTTGGAAAGGCAGGAAGACAGAGATCTAAAGTGAGATGGATGCTACTACTTAAGTTTTCTATGATTGCTTAGCTTACACTTGTGTGTGTAAATAATTTTTGTAGGGTATGATAATTTGCTGCATACTTAAAAATGAAGCTTTCAATTATATCATTTCAGTTCTTTGCTTTGATCAGCCGAGTGTCTATCATAAATAGTTTCTCTACACGAGGTAGGGATAAGATCGCGTACTCTTTACCCTATTTGTAAGATTACGCTGAATATGTTATTATTGTTCTTGATCATCTGGACCCAATCTATGATCTCTAAGCTAACTTCTAATCTTGTTTTTTCTTTCTTTTTTCTTCTTATTAATTTTTTTCTTTGTGCTGATATGAATGAAGAATTTTCTTCTTTTTTCTTTTTATTAATTTTTTTTTCCTTTGTGCTGATATGAATGAAGATAGTGTACCAAAAAATGACATGAATGAAGGTACTCGATAACAAGGAAAATTCTAATTGTTCCTCAGCTTCTTTATGAGTATCATTAGAAAGTGGAAAACTGAGGAAGTGTTTGGTATGACAAAAAATATTTCTTTGGTCATTTTCTAGTGTTTAATTGCATTAAAAAGATCATGGAAAATATTTTCGAAAATAACTTCTCTCACTTTTGGATGAAAGTGATACTTTTCCGTCACAATTATCTAAACTTCTAACTTCATATAACTGTCTTAACCAAAACACAGACATTATACTAGAGATTGACAAATTAAAGAACTTTAGGTTATACTAGATGAAACTGTTTCTCTTTAATTATATTTTTTCTCTTTGGAGACATATGAGCTTGACCATTTTCTATATGGTCCAGATTAGTTAATATTTGTTTTTAGAAAATTACAAATGTTTTCTTATGGGTAAGCCCTCAATTTCTTTGCTCTTTTGGTTCATAATTCAGTATACCAAACTTAGAAAAGGTTGCGAGAAAACTTGCTTATTCAGTCAAATCTGAGGACTATAGCTTACCTAACTGTAGATTAATTCGGTTAAGCAAAATCTCTAAACTGATTTGAAAAGGAAAAATTTCATATTAAAACAATTGGGCTGCCTCCTTTTCAGCTTTATAGCCCATATTTCAATTTATAATTGAGTAGCCCAAAAATTATAGGCCCATATCTGAAAAAGGAGCGTTAATTCCGTTTTTTTGGGAGTAAAAAGCGGGATTTTCTACATTTTCTCAAATTCTTTCTAATCTTCTTCCCCAAATACTTCAAAAACGAGATCTTCCCATGAATGCAGCTCCAAAAACCCTAGAATTTCTTCTTCATCTCGAATTAACAACAAATCAAACACGAAAAGTAAAATTTGTTTGCTGCAAATCAGCGCAATTTTAGTTTTTGCTTCAATTTTGATTTCCATTTTTTGTTCGATGGAGATTTTTCCAGTTTACGTTCTTCATAGTGGTGAATGGGAAGAAAACAAGTTTATCAATTTCGTCAGCGATTGTGTAATAATCGAGTCGATGTTCACCTACAACAATTTAGTTGCAGCTATTTCGGAACAGATTAGGATCGATAGTGAGTTAAACACAATAGATATTAACTTTCTCCCAAATGTTGGTTTGCCACCGATCCTGATTTACAACGATACAGGTGTGAAGGTGTATATCGAATTAAAGAAGAAAAACTTGAATTTCACTGAATATCCTTTGTTTGTGACAGTGAAAGAGATATATGAAAATCGTTTGGTTCCTACAAGTTCTAGTTGTGTAGTTGCTACAAGTTCCAGCTGTTTGGTTGGTACAAGTTCAGATTCTAGAGATGTATCAACAATTGATAGCACTGAGATTATTGATATCAAATTTATTGAAAACATGAACTTTAGTGAAAACACGGGTATAATAGATGATATACTGAACGAATTTGTTGAGGAAGATCAAGTTTATAAGGATAAAGATACAGTTGTCGGTGTGATGAAGAACTTGGCTGTACGTGAAAGGTTCCAATTCAAGGTGAAGAGATCAAGCGCAACAAGGTATGTAAATAATTGTATATTCTGTTATATATATGTATAAATATGTATAAAGTAGTATATATTTGTATCTAGGTATTAAAATTAGTATATATGTAGTTATGTTTTTGTATACAAGTGTATTTAGAAGTTGAATAATCTTTAATCCTAGGTATCACCTTATGTGTATGGATGAAAATTGTGCTTGGAGTTTCAAATCTTCTGCCGTTTTCAAGGCAAACATATTCAAAGTGAGAAGTTACAATAATAATCACACATGCGGCTATGGTAAAAGATACTTAACACTACGTCAAGCTACTTCGGGTGTAATTGCTAGTATAGTCAAGGACAAGTATGTTAATCCAAAAAAAGTTTACACCGCAAATGATATAATAGAGGACATACAAAAGCAACACGGAATTGAGGCGAGCTACATGAAAGCATGGAGAGCTAAAGAGATAGCAATGGCAATGATAAGAGGGAGTCCTAGTGATTCATATAAGGAGTTGCCGAAGTATTTTTATATGTTAGAGCAAACAAATCCAGGAACGGTTATAAAGTTGCACAAATCAGAAGATGGATGCTTTCTTTATGCATATGTTTCGCTATATGCATCTATCAAGGGCTGGGAGCATTGCAGACCGATAATGGTTGTTGATGGAAGTTTCCTTAAAGCAGCATATCAGGGTACCATATTGACTGCTTGCACACAGGATGGAGCTGGTGAGTTGACTGCATCTACCTTGTTTCTGCAGTTTGTATAATGTTGTAGTTTCATGTATAAAAGTGTATAGGATTTCACAGCTACTGTTTTTATAAAATTTGCAGTTGGTATAAAATTGTATAATTGTGTATAACTGTGTATAATATTTGTATAATTGTCTGAATCCTAATATCTATTATTTAATTGTCTGAATCCTAATATCTATTTTGTATAAACAGGAAAAATCCTTCCACTTGCATATGCAATTGTAGATTCAGAGAATAACAAATCTTGGGAGTGGTTCTTTGTCCAGATAAAGGGTACTTTTGGAGTTAGGGAAGTTATGTGTATAGTTTCAGATAGAAATGAAAGCATCTTCAATGCCACAAAAGCTGTGTACCCAGAAGTACCACATTGTATTTACATGTTTCACTTGTGGCAGAATGTAAAGCGCACATTCAAGAAACATCACAAACAATTGAAGGATATCTTCTTTGCTTTGGCTAGAGCTTACACGGTAGAGAAGTTTGAGTACCATATGACAGAGATGTGCAAAATTGATCCGAGAGTGCAGCCTTACTTGTTCGGAATTGGATACGAAAGGTGGTCTAGGGCATATTCCAAAGTGAAAAGGTCGATGGTAATGACTTCCAATATTGCAGAGTCAATTAATGCAGCAAACAAGGATGCTAGAGAGTTACCAGTAATGCGATTGCTAGAGTACATGACAAATTTGCTACAACAGTGGAACAACAAAAATATAAAAAGTGCAATGGAGACATCTACAGAGCTTGGCAAAAAGTACGACAAACTCCTTCGGGAAAATCTGATTGCATCGGAGCAAATGACGGTAAATTGAATCAAATATAATGATGTTTGGCACTGCTGACTTGCATTTTACTGCTTGTATAAGGATGTATATCTCTGTATAATAATGTATAATGTTCTTTCACTTTTTTTTTAAAAAAAAAAAAATTGCAGGTGAGACCTGCTACGGAGAAGTTATATACTGTGTTTGAAGGGGTAAGGCGAAACATAGTGTGCCTTGAAGAGGGAACATGCAGTTGTGGAAAATTTCAAATGGATGAACTTTCATGTCCACATGCTTGGGCGGTCTTGAAGAACCAGCAGCTGAAACCTAGCCAGTATTGCTCTTTTTACTACAAGAAGGATAAACTCCTTAGAACTTAAGAATTGTCAGTGAATCCGATGCCAGATGAGAGTCTATGGGTAATCCCAACAGAGGTGATGGAAGATAAGATGTGGTCCTACCACCTAAAGGGAGAAGGAATGCAGGAAGGCCAAGAAAGGAAAGACTCAAACCTGCTTCAAAAAAAGAGTCTAAGAGGGCATTTTCATGTTCTGTGTGGACCAAAATAGCTAGTTGAAAACATAACACTAACTATTACATTTGTTCTCATGTTGAGTAGTTAAGTTTCACAAAGAATAGAGTTACAAATGTTGAGTAGTTAAGTCTCACAAGTAATTGAATTACAAATGTCAATAAAGATTTACAACTTACGCTATATATTGCAACTGTGTTAAATATGTTTCATTATACATGTTTTGATTATCCAATAATAGTGTGTTGTTGTTTTTAATGGTGCTAAATATATTGATACATTGTACAAATACAAAACAGAACTGCTGATATTATATGTATACAGATGTATAAATGAGAGTATAAGTTTGTATAAATATGTATAAACCCTGCTACAACAACAAAACTGCAACCATAATGAAAATACATACTTTGTTAAAGGACAAAAGCAACTGATATATTCATTAAAATGTAATTCATTCACAGCCACAATGTGTAATGACTACCGCAAATTACACAAAAATAAAAACATCTATAAAATCCTTTAATGCTATCTCACAAGTAGCAGAATAGTACTTAGACAAAACTAGGCAAAAACTCCTGATACATAGAAAAACTACAGTAAAATGGGAAAAACAGAACTACTTTCTCGGTCTCCCCCTCTTCCTCTTCTTAAAAAGTCTCCCTGTGATTTCATCACCACTAATTGCACCGGACTGTTGCTTTTTCCTTCCATAATCACACAACAGAGATCCTCACCTGGTGCGAAGTGTCTCAATGTCAAAATTATCTTTTCGAATTTCCTTACCAAGGATGAAATACTCAGCAAAGCCAGCAACAAAAGCACCACAATCACTGTAATTAAAAAGAAAAAAATCAGATTCAAATAGGTAAACTAATAGTAAATAGTAAAACAATTGAGATTAACCTACCATTTGATCTGTTGGGGAACATTATTAACCAGATTAATCTGCAAAGCATCAGAATGGGATTTATCGATATATGCACCATTGTTCCAATCAATGCCCTTCTTCTCGACATAAAAATCAGAACTCTTCAAGAAGTAAGGTATTAGAATTGCATAAGGTAATGCAGCATCCAAAACAAGTCTATCATTAATAGCTCCACGATTAGAATCATAGATGTGGATGCACCTATCTATGAAGGTAAACACCCCCAAACCCAATGGCCCAATTTTGCTCTTCCGCGCTTCACATAGATAGGGAATAAGACGTGGTCAACAGTGTGCCACGGGACATTTGCATCACAATAATATCCTCTAATGTACTCTTCTATCTCATGCCCTTCAGGAATCACTGAAGGATCTTGATTCACTTCGAAAACTTTATACAGGGAGTTGATTTTGTTATCAAAGGCAAAGTCGGTTGTAGTAAACCGCATGGCAACACTCGGCCCATATTTTCCCCTCTTCCTCAAATAATAAAAGAGGACATCCAAGTGCTGAAACAAGAAATAAAACAGAACAACCATCACTACCAGATATTTTAAATATAGAAATTTATATACTATTATACAGAGGTATACATATTTATACAAGGTTATACAATCTTATACAATGTTATACAATCTTATACTGTGATTATACAAGGCTATATATACACTATGGGGGTCTCAAATAATAAAGATATGCAACAAATAAAAAAGGCATTAGAACATAAATTTATTAAATACCGTGTCAATGAAAGGTTGACCACAATATGCAAGTGAGTGGAACCAATCCTTCGTGGTCACATTACACGAGCCAAAAGTAAAAGCTTCCGCAAGCTTATTTACTTCATCGGGATATATATTTTTGGCACTTCAAATCACAAAAAATAAAAAGTAATCAGAACTACATTCATTGACAAGTTTAAAATTAGAACATGAAAGATTAAAGAAAGTGAAGATACCTTCGCCTCGTATCCATCCCATTATCAACAAACGCGCAAAACTCTTTAGCCAATGGCGACAATGGATCAAAATCATCAATTTCGATCGTGAAAGGATGCTTGATATCAAAAATGAGCTTGGGCGCCGATACCGATGCCCCCGAATCAAAAACTAGCAAATATGGAGATTTGGCATATTTTCCTGGTATTTTCTGTCGAACTGACTTTTCAGGAGAAATGAAATCATCTTCTACGTCTATGATGGATTGTTTGTGAAGCACAATTTGGGACATCTGTAGCGCAGCTAAATCTTCATCGCCAATGTCATCCCAAAATGTGTCACCCTTGACATCACCTGCTGCCTCTTAGACGGAGAAAACAAATAATAAAAAACTTTAAAATGAAGAAAAGAAAAATCATACAAAAAAAAGAAGATAAAATGCAGAACAAATACCATGATCAACACCATCAGTAACTCCCTCGTCAGCTAGCACGTCATCTTGATTCACTTGATTGACAAAGTCAGGAACAACATCATATTGATAGCCATCATATTCGCCAAGACCAGATGTATTGTCATCAGACACGCGCTGATGAATATAATAACAAACAATAGAAAGATAAGGCATAACTGTTGAGTGATGATTCAGAGAAGGCATAACTATTGAGTGATTTGGTTTTATCAGTAAATAATTACCTTAGAATCAGTAAAATCCTCCCTCGTTTGCTTGGTTTCCTTCATATTCAGAAAACTGAACACTTTTTCAAATGAAGAAACTACATAATTATTGAGTGTCGTCACTGTATCAGTCAACTACAACAACAACAAAAAAATCAAAAGCAAATCAACAAAACCATGTTTATAACCAAAAAACCATGTATATACAAAAAGTACTGATAAACTACAGAAAAGTTAAAGGTCCAGTACCTTTCCAACAGCACTCCTCAACTTCTCAACTTCAGCATTCAACAGATCAATGCGCACCAAAGGATCATAACTCGGGTTAGGCTGTCGATCCATATTCTGAGGAAAAGGTCGTTTAGACTGCTGCTCCGTATTCTGAGGATAAGGTCGTTTAGACTGTTGCTCCATATTCTGAGGACAAGGTGGAGATGCAGCGACAGAATCATCAGTGTGAAAGGCAGGCGCCACAGGCACATCCCCTGATGCAACATCATCGGCATTAACTTCAAAAAGCGTGTCGATGTTCAGAGTTGACAGCTCTTCACGAGTAGGGAAAATGTTCCTTTAGTTCAACTACAAGAAAAAAAACTGGATTAAAATGGTAGAAAAAGGAAATTGTAACATATTCATAAATATACATACAGAAAAACTGAAATCATATATGAAGAAGTATTATGGTACAAAATGTTTACCTTGTCGATACTACACATGATCACCCCGCCAGTCAAATCCGCATATGTTGGAGTTTCAGTTACTTTCCAATTAAGAATGCGTGGCACATTTGTTCCAACGCGAACAGCTAGATGCTTGTCAACAATAGAGTAACACTCAAAAAACCATACTTGTAATGCAAGTGGCAAACCTCCAAGCCTATACATTGTCAAATAGTCACACTGTGTGTCCCTCATTGTCCTTAAAATATCTTCAAATGACTTTTTTCCCCAAGCATACGTCTGATATTGACCACTTTCAATGATATCAAAATCATCTTTGTTGATACCATGATTATTGGCATCTTAGAATATGAAATGATGGACAACACCATCAAGGCCATCTTGAACGCATCTTCGTCCGACTTCCAGTCCTTTTTCTTGAAGCGATCAAGAAGTTGCCCCCTAGTTATAGCCTTTTTTCTATCTCCTGGAAAATACTCTTTTAGAAACCTCTTAACATCTGGTTTGTCATAGAAAGTGGCGTTGTCGTCTACACACTTCAAACCAGTGATAACAGAAAACTCTCCAATGCCAAAACGCAACAAACAACCATTAATTTGCACCCACAACTCCCTTTCACGTCCTGGGACGACTTCCCTCAATAATATACAATGAATAAGTTGATTTTGAATTTTAAATTGAGGGAGGTCCAAGAAGTACCCAAAACAACTAGCACGGAACATCTGAAGCTGTGTGTCAGTCAAATATTGCTTCAAAATGCTCACAATCTCAGTCTCGGTATGGGAGCTAATCCTGTTGTGGAAATAATCAACTGGTTGTATATAGAAGTTCCCAACCTTGCATAAGAAAAAATAATAAGAAATAGATCAGGAACAAAAACTATACTAAAACATTTTATAAAAATATATAAATAAGTATAGCAGAACTTGTATAAAGATGTATAAACAACTGTATAACTTTGTATAAAATTGTATAAGCATGTATAAATTACTAGCAACACGGGGAATACCTTCAACTGAGCTTTTCTCTCATTCAATTTGGAGCGAATAGCAAATATTTGTTCTTTCGATAAGGAATCAAGGCCACTATCACCATCATCCTTGATCTTTCTCCTTTTCGGTTTAACATTTTGGCCTACATCATCTTCGTTAACCAAATCAACTTTCAGCTTTCTTTTAATTTTTGAGGTCTCCCACATTTCTTACTCCGTATTCTAACAATGTTAACCGGAGTAGGAGTATTACTTGTTTGCGACCGAGTCACTCGAGTGCTCCCTTGTTGCAATGATCTCGATGAGATTGATATTCCAATCTTTCTTCTTAGAACGTATTGATTTGACCCCATAAGCGGGACCAAGCATGTTGCCGCCAGAAGCAGAACCCCGTATTTCTTCTAGAGAATCTCCTAATTGTTCCAGAGCAACTAGAAAGAGATTCTTTAACCAGAAAGAATTCGGTTCAGATGTAGGATACCTATCCAGAAGTTTTCGCAACTCAATCATAGATGATGGAATCATCAAAGATTTGACCTTTTCGAACTCTGTCTGTAACTCACTAGAGGACTCAAAATCATCATCATCGGGATCCCGGACATGCGTTTTCGCTTCAGAAGAAGGTGGTGAG